GGTGAATAATATGTATCGATAACCACTATTCTCTTTAGAATACGTTTGCATCTCAGCTAAATCTACTTGCCATAAGTCTGCGAAACCTTTTATTATAGTTCTCCTTCTATGAAACTTTCGTCTGGCAGGTTTATGCAGTTCATTGACTATTCGCCTTTTGGTTGCACTTATCTCCATAACAGCGTTATTCAAACCTATTGAAATACTTCTGAATGCTTGTGATCTCCTTGAATAACGTTGATATACTAATAGGCCAGCATACATCATATCCCTCTTATGCCTTGGAGACAAATTAAAATTAATGCACAATGCCTTCTTCGCGTAATTCCTCAATTATTGACATTATTTCATTATCGTGCCCAGTGTGACCGGCTGATTTTGAACTCCACAATAGCCGAAGGCGTTCTACTAATTCTGTAGCTTTATTCCAATAGACGTACTCTTTGCGGCGTTTACTAACACTCTTTCTGGATGGTATCAATTGTAATATTCCTCCACCACCTTTAACTTTTTGCTGCTGACTCCTCATATTATGTGGAGAACCAATTAATGGTTTGATAATTTGCTGATATTTCGTTTTTGATTTCGTACTCATATTCAACCCTTCCCGTACATCGAAATTCTTATATGGCGCCTTTGTATTCTTCAGCAGGGCTGTGTATACGCTCTTATCTCGATCATTGATCGATCTCGGTATGTGTTTCATGAATATGAGGTTATATAGTTCAGACGTTGCTGGAAAAATTTTGCTCCTCTTATTGCTGCACAATAACTCAATTTGTCCGGGAGGAAAACGAATCTCCATGGCACCCATCATCGTGTTTTTCGTGGTGGGATCGATACGAACGCCATATGTGGTGTCATAATTGGGGTCATTAGACTTCAAGTTATCTAAATGTTTTCTCAATTGTCCATCTAGTGTGTTCGCTTCTGCCCCATCAGCGGGCATCATAGTATCGATTGAAATGTGTGAAGAAGATGATGTTGGTGGTGTATCCATCATTGTTCTATATTCGGGTTCTTCATCTTCTTTTTGTATGCTTGAATAATCATCGGTGAAACTACGTGATTTTACGGATTGTCTGGGTGTTTTCGTAGCACCTGGAGACGCATTGCCCGACATCGGTGTGGAATGATATGTGGGTTGTGCCATTATTGTCGTTAACTGTTTGTTAATATTCTTCGTAGTAGCTGTTGTATTTGGAGTTGCTGCTGCTGCTGCTGCTGCTGCTGAGATAACATTCAACGGTTTCATGAGTGGTTCATACACCTTTTCGAGCGCCAATTGATTTCCCATACGGTAATTTTTCAGGCTTTCGAACTTTTTTCTCACTGCTTCGGTTGCTCCAATGAGTTCACGTTTGAGGTGAATTTCTGAATTCATTTCAGTCATTTTCTCATGAGATGTGCTCATAGTCACATCTAATGGTTGAATGAATCACGCGGTGCTTAGATTTCACGGATATATGAAGTTATCGAATCCTTTTCTGTAGCGGCCCTCTTGTACTTCACTATCCTTATCGATAACTATAAATCCATATCTATCTGTCCAACTCTGCGCGCACATATCTTGAAATTGCTTGAATGTAACATCTGGAGATACGTGATCGGAAAAAATGTGGTGAAGATTCATTTCATCCTGTTTAAACATAACTATGAAGTTGGAGTTGTCGCGAATGAGCTGTTTGGGTACTCTGGAGTATGTCTGCGCCAGATAAAAGCAGTCCACATTTTTATGGCGACCCATAGAAAAATACGATCTAATCACATCTTGTTTTTCACAAATGACGTCGTCGAATATGAAAATGCTGTCAGGTTCAGCATTCGCTGGTTCTATTATATCTACATTATTATCAAAAGTGTGGAATCCCAAACCTTTGATCGGCTCCAACACCTTTCGTAGGTACTCATACTTGGGTTGATACAACGATTTTGAGTAGAGGTAGATATTCGTGAACCGTAAACCATTTTCGTTGGTGAGGAGTGATATCATCACATTCGTTTTACCACAATTCGATGGACCAATTATGAGGCCGCGAATTGTGTTGGGAAATAGTGTTCCATGTCGGCGTTCTGAGATGATGTTACTTCCCAACCCCACTTTCTCATCAAAATTGTCCACATTGAAGGTTTCTGCCTGCTGAACTATCCGCATTGTATGACGGTTGAATGATATATAAGGTAGTGCAACCCGTGTTGGGGTCATTTATATTATGAAGCTGGAGCGTTGCACATCGATAAATAATAAAAGAATTAGTCGACGAAAGAGAAGCGGTAAAGGGATTGTGAATACCCTAATAAATAGAATACCATTCGAGTTACACATTCCTGGTTATCAATACTGTGGGCCTGGAACAAAACTCCAAAAACGATTAGCTCGGGGTGATCAGGGGATAAATCAACTGGATAAAGCTTGCAAGGAACACGATATAGCGTATCTGAAGTATCCAAACGATTTATCAACTAGGCATTCAGCTGATAAGAAATTGGAAGAAGCTGCCTGGGAGCGGGTAAAATCGAAAGACGCTAACGTAGGGGAAAGGACCGCTTCTTGGTTAGTCACCAATATAATGAAGGGGAAGAGGCGCTTCGGAATGGGATGTAGTGGAATGAAAAAACGTCGCATTACAAGAAAAAAGAATAAATCGAAGCGTGTAAGCAAAATTGCTTTCGGCTCTGGCGTAGTCCACAAGGTTCGAAATGTCATACGGCAAATGGGTAAGAAGAGTGATGTCGTCAGAAATTTAGCCAAAACATCCCTTATGGCGATCGGAGCTGCCCGAAAATTTGTCAAGATGGCAGGTGGGAAAAAAAATATACGGACACCTAGGATAATACCAATACCTAAAGTTGGCGGAATTCTCCCACTAATACCCATTTTCGCGGGCTTATCGGCTTTAGGCAGTTTGGCTGCAGGAAGTGCTGGTATAGCTCGTGCCATTCGTTCAGCGAAAGAGAGTAGGGAGCAGCTTTCGGAAGCAAGTCGACACAATAGGCATATGGAGGCGATCGCTCTTGGAAAAGTTGGTAAAGGAGTTTATTTGAAACCATATCGAAAGGGGTTAGGCATCTATCTGAAACCTCAAAATTCAAAAAACTGAATGAACTACCTCGAAGGGCCTTAACAGACATTGATCTATTGAATTATGTAGATAAAATGAAAGTACCGCACTTTCGAGGTATATTTATGAGGGACAAGCTACCTCGTTCCGGCCCACATCGCATAGAAGCAGCTATTCTGAATTTAGATAGCAATCGAGGCAATGGTACGCACTGGGTTGCATATAAAAAACGTAATAGAGAAGTGGAATATTATGATAGCTATGGAGATTTGCCACCTCCTCAGGAGTTGATGGAATATCTGCAGAGAGGGCCAAAATCGTTGAACACTATCAAAATCACATATAACTACGAGCGCCATCAGGATTTCAACACAGTCTGGTGTGGTCATTTGTGCTTAAAATTTCTCTCGGCAAACAACGGACGCAAAAAAAGTCTTCAATATGGATAGAGAAAGCATCAAACGAATGGGGCACTCATTACTGGCTTACTCAAGATTGCGTTCCCTGCTGTAAATGAGTGAAAAGCAGCTCGCAGACATGCCGAAAGAAGTCGTTATCGGTTGCGCCCCACATGAAATTGCTCTAGTGTGGGATAAACTTCCTCAGCAATTACGTAACGATCCGGACGTATCAAAATACCAATTTTGTGAAGAACATCATCATGAAGAAGATGGCAAACATGGCGCTGCTGATGTGAATGATGGACCAACACCGAGAAGAATATTTTGCTGTTCTTGTCAGATCAAAGATGTGAATGTGGCAAATGAATGTATTAATACTTCACCTCGTGAAAACGGCGGCATTCATCATTGTTGTAGGCAGCAATAAGGTTGTCACCTTTCCATCACGGTTGCGCATATATTTCAACATTTATCACAGTTTCGCCGTCTTCTTCCTCTGAGAAGTCATGTCACAAACTTTCACCATATCTGGGGACCGCAGTGTTTTGAGCGCCGACTTCTACCCACCTATTGAACTCGATACAAAAAAATCCTATGGTTTGGGATTGCATGGTTTCTACTCATATAACTCCATACTCAATATAGATGAGAAAAATAACCGATTGGACTTTTGGGCTGTGTTAGGAGCTAAAACCACCCACAAAATAGTCCACATACCACCTGGCGCCTATGAAATAGAGGAAATCAATAAAGCTCTACAAAAGGCTATAGCGTGCACAATACCGCTCGATGGGCGAAATATTGATGATATATTTTTTCTCCATGCTAATAATAACACCCTAAAATGTGAAATGAAATGTGTGTACAAGGTGGATTTCACACCTGCGACTTCCATAGCCGGAGTGTTGGGATTTGAAGCCAAGAAATACCCACCTAATATATTGCATGAATCCACGTTGCCTGTGAATATAATAAAGGTTCGTCTCTTGAGGGTGGACTGCAATATTACCACAGGAGCATTCTTCAATGGTGAGGAGGTTCATACACTATATGAGTTCGATGTTGATGTGGAGCCTGGGTATAAGCTATCAAAAGAGCCGCAAAATATCATATATTTACCCATCAGCCCGACTGGGCGTCAGTTCATCGACAACATTACACTGAGAATATTGGATGATAACGGTCTTTTAGTCGATTTTCGAGGAGAAAAAATCATCGTTAAGCTAGAACTGAAACAACTCGCTCATTAGGCAGACACCATCAAAGGAATGAAATGGGGTTTTGTTTTGGGAACCAATCAAAACGCATGCAACCGACTAGCTCCGATACCATTCAGCGGAATATCAATAAGAAGGAGAGAAAACGTGGTAGTGGATTCATTCGAGCAGAACTTCCCGAACGTGAAAGACATAGATTGTCTGCGAGCGACAAATATTTTTTGAAGTCAATTGGTCTGAAGTTACGATAACCAGCTGCAAGATGGTTGCAACAGCCTCTACTAGCCCCCAATTGGACGTGTTTGATGAACCAATTTTAGATCATTTACTGATGAGCCTACATGAGCACACATACAAACCATATGGGTCACCCTCATTCAAGAATTCTGATGAAATAAGGATCGCCGTCAACTTTCAAGATCTGATTCTTGATATTTCTGAAAGTTACATCTATATTGAGGGAAAATTCACACCAAACGATGCCACTAAAACCTGCTATCTATCTAATAATGCTCTAGCATTCTTATTCGATGAAATACGCTATGAAATGGGTGGCGAACAAGTATGCATGGTACGAAAACCAGGCATCACTACTACCATGAAGAGTATGATTTCTTATGGAGAGAGTAATATGAAATTCCTAGAGACAATTGGATGGGGCCTTGATGGTGGCAAGCAGGTGCTTCTAGATAAAGCTAGCAACGTTTTTAGCGGTAAACTACCCCTTAAATATCTGATGGGGTTTGCCGAAGATTATTGTAGAGGTATTTTGAATATCAAACAGGAGCTAATACTCATCATAGCTCGCTCATTCAAGAACTCATATATTGGGGAAGTGGACGCCGATGTGGAGATTAACAAAATTGAGTGGAAGATAAGACATGTGATGCCATCAGATAAGCAGAAATTGAAGCTATTGACCCGTTTGAATAAAAGTTCTACGGCAAAAGTGAAAATTGCATACAGGATGTGGGATCTGTATGAGTTACCGACTATTCGTGATACAGCATCTGACATTTGGGCCGTTAAAACTACCAATAGCCTCGAGCGGCCTCGATATATCATCATTGGATTCCAAAACACTGATAACACTGATAATAGATCTGAGGATATCACACAATTCACCCATGCAGGAGTGAGCAATATTCGCCTGTATTTGAATTCCGAAGTTTATCCATACGAGCGATGGAATTTGGATTTCGATAAGAAATTAGATGCAGTAGCCTATTATGCATATGACAACTTCCAACGTAGTTACTACGGCAAAGACATGAGCGAACCAATGATGAGCATCGAGGAATTCCGAAAAAACCCACTATTCATCATTGACTGCAACCACCAACCCGATGCGATGAAATCCTCCACTGTCGACATCAAGTTGGAATTTGAAACACGAAAAACGAAGTTTCCATCGCACACCAAAGTTTACGCACTTATTCTCCATGATGCATATTTAACTTATAGTGCACTGGATGGTTCCATACAGATGGGTGCTTTATAGACATTGAATGTATCATGTTCATGTTAATAATAACGGCCATTTCGAGATTGATTTATATATTTGATATCATAGTTATTGTTCTAGAATCCGTTGTTGTTATACTGAATAAAACGAATATGTACCATATTTATTGTTTTATTTCTATACATATACATTAACAATTATAGTACCCATACATCTTATAAGTATTCAGAGGTTGAAGTAGCCGTTGTGTGGAGATTTAATGCAGAATTATAAGCTTTTTTCTTCTTCTTGTCCTTCTTCTTCTTCTTCTAAATCAGACACCTCTGGAGTTATTCCAATGCTATATTTCCGGACGAGATGGTTCGGCAAAAAATCGGAAATTTCATACAGGAATTGCACTAAGTCCTCTTCAACCATGGCTTCAACAAATTCCTCTACATTGATGTTATTATACTCGAAACGGGCGCAGAGTAGGAACCCCAATTTGTATTGCTCAGCTTGCTTGCAGAGGTTCTGAACCTGTTTTTGATCAAAGCACACACTCGTGTCATAATTAGCTGCATGCATTGCGTCCTGCTCTAAATCGGCAAACTGACATTTCAGCCTCCTCACACTCGACTTGATATCTTCCGCTACCGGCCAAGATTGACTGGAATAATGCATCCACATATTGCACATCTATTGAGGTGAATTATCCTGCAACATAAATGGAAAAAATACTTAGGTCACGAGTGAATGAGTTAAAGAATTGATCATTAATCGAATTATATATCTGTAGCACCACTCACCTATACAAATTCAACCTTCATCAGAGTGTGATATAATAGGTTATATATAATATGTAAGGATTATCATATAGTATTCAAACCCATTTACACTACACTAAACGTGGCTGATGCATCCCTATGATTAAATTAATTTTCCTATATACTATGAAATGATCTTTACATTTTTTTCACATCGAATTTCATGAGAGCTCTCGTCTTTGCACCCGCGAATAGAGGCTCACTCTGTCCCAAGTATGTTAAAGTGTAAAGACCGTTGGAAGAATTTATCTCATCAATATCGCTCTCCATAAATTTGTCAACAACTCTTTTTGGTAACCAAGTTTTCAAACTCACTTCGGTCTCTTCATCATATAAAATTACAGTACCACTCCTACCGAATCTGGTTCCGCATAATGAGATTTTCTTGATAATATAGCTTTTATTGAGGGGTAGTGATGATATCAAAATTTGCTTTACAATTTCATTCTCCTCATTAATTTTATCATTAATTGAAGCTAAATCGATTTTGGGGGCAGCCATTATTTTCGTCCAAGTGAAAGGGGTGTGAATAATATATGAATAAGCGTACTTACATAAAACAGATAACCTTTTATCACACTCAAACTTTCCCAACTTAATTGAGCAGAAGCAATGTTCAATGTTATTGCAAGAACTATGCTTGTGCATGTGGCGGATTTCGTATTTATAGAAACGCAAACAACCCCCACTATAGCGATGTGATGCGCGAAAGTGTCTTCAACTTCGAACACGCTTTCAAGGCCTCACTCTCTCTACAACTCAATGTCACTCACTCTCAAGGTCGCACATGCGGAGGTTCACTCCCACCCAAGGTCGCTTCCGCCCAATGCCACTCTTGCCTCAAGGCAACTCTTGCCCCAAGGTCACTCCGCCCAAGGTCACTTCCTCCCAAGACCACTCCTGTTCCAAGGTCACTTCCGTCCAAGGCCACTTCTGCATCAAGGTCACTCCTACTCAAGGTCACTACCGCCCAAGGTCACTCCTGCTCCAAGGTCACTCCTGCTCCAAGGTCACTCCGCCCAAGGTCACTCCCGCCCAAGGTCACTCCGCCCAAGGTCAGAGGAGAGTGACCTCGGGCGGAGAGTCAGAAACGGCTAATCTTATCTACTTACCACCACCACCAACTGTGAGAATTAATTTTATTCAATACTCAACACTCTAATAGTAAGCTATATATTTTGATTTCCTCCAGAATGACTATCCCTTGGCACAAGAAAAAAGGGATCTTCTGAAAATAAATTCACTTATTTTAATGAGATATCATATATTTGTAACAGGTCGGAAATTTCTTGATTCAAGGAGAAAATTGTTCAAATATGATGGGAGATTAACTCGACAATAGATGATATTTCTTGTTTCGAGTTAATTAATTCTTTCTTCGACCAAAACGTACTGTGAAGATAGAGAAATGTCCATTCGAATCAAGATTTTCTTTTATGTATAAGTCAAGAAAGTTCTATGGAAAAATCAAACAAATATTTGGTTGGACCTATTCAAGAACGTCATGTGGTGCAATCAATGCTGTTCCACAGCATCTATCTACAACTATGGAGTCATTCATACATTGCTAACTCCATTTTCAACATTTAATGACAGACATTATTGTGATGAATCGAGTAATAAGAGTAATAATGACAGTAGGATGACGTAATAATCTGACATCCCATCGTCCTGTCAAATTCATCTAGGTAGGTATTCGTTCTACTATAGTTCTACTAGAGCACACCACTATACTACTGTTTGTGAAATACACGCAAATTCAAAGGACTCACCTTACATGGTTATCATAGTTTTATTCACCTTAGTTCCACAAATGCAAATACAAAAAAATGAGAATTCACTGTTTTTCATTCTCAACAGTGACTACCATCATGAGTAACCATACCTATGAAATAGGACTTGACAGTTGCAGATTGGCTCACACTTATGTGCGGAGCATTCGAATAGATTAGTACCGATCGATCAGAACCATGAAACTTCATTGTTAATAACTAGCGTCTAGAGACAGGGTACTACAATTAATCATCGCGGTAGGGGAATGCTACAGCGGAAGCAAGTTGATGAATATACTGCCTTCGGCTCGTACTGCAACTTTCATCTTCCTGGGTAATAGCCATCATTATGCGCTCGTTGAATAATATACTATTATCTGTGCACTATAATCCATTTGATATGTTTCCATTCACTTTTTTTTTCTCTACTTTTCATTTTATTATTTCATCTCATTGTGATAATGAACTCTTTTTCTCGGTTATCGTCGATGATAGTAGTCAACTCTACTCGTGCTGCCAAGAATAACATCCGTATAACCAAATCAACTATACAATTTTACTCAGACAACCCCACAATTTTTGCAAAGTTCGAGAACCAACAAGTTTCAGCTTTAGTGCAATGTTTACAACAGTGAAAAATCATATCCATTCCTCTCCGCTCCGCAGCAATATTAATTCCAAGTGATATACATCTCGGTAGCTTCAACAGTCATTCGAGTGTTTATAACCACCATCTGCAGCAAAGTAGTAAATGACATACATTAAAGTATGATTTGCACATAATTTACCAAGACCACACCACAGAAGCGAGTATTTGCTTGTGACGCTCGTGAAATCTTCTCGATCTTGAAACGACGTAAAAATGTCACTAATTAAATACGTATAAAACCATAAAACTGTATCTTCCAACAAGAATTTTGTTCATAATTTTAATGGAATCGCGCCAATGCATGGCAAAGAAATTATGCGTCCATTTATAAAGAACAAAATTGAATAACAGGGACGTAGCTCTACAATTTTCATTTAATCTATTTTCTGAATTTTTGACCCAGCGTGGAAGATGCATCAATGTCGTTGTTTTAATACATCATTTAGGATTGAACAGTACGTGTGCGGAAGATTTTTGATTCTTACTTAAAACTATTTTTCTTTGTGTCGTAACTCCGTGTAATAACTTCACGAAAAAGTTCACGGTCGAAGAATGTTGTAGCTGAGCTGAACAAAGATGCAGAAACTTGCAAGGCTCCAGGATCTTCAAAATTCATTAGACATAAATTTATCTTGTACATGAAATGAAGATTATATTAGCATGAATGATCAACATTTCAATATCTTGCTATATTTCTATCATAACAAACAATGAGCAAACTACAGCGTTTGTATAAATCCAGCTTATATATAAAATTGCATATTCATTCAGTATAAACACTTCTGTTTGGAAAAAAACAAGTTCTTCCTATGTAGAGAAGCTCTATAATGACCGCTAAATCTTCGAAGGGTATCGAAAAAGAGTAGTGTAGATAATGGAAGAAATACTCAAAATCTCTTCACTTATACAGAAGCTTCTGAACTCATTATTGCTAGACTATTTGCCTACACTGACATTCAAAAATAATCTATAACATCTGAGTTCATTGAGTCTATGAACTTTTCTAACACCCTTGTATATTGTATTTTCTTACCTAAAGGACTTATTGTGCCCCTACCTTTCGCTATACCCAATGAGGTTGTCAAACAATATATGTATTTATTCGTATCATTTATCTTATTATTCTGAGACAACAAAATATTTTCATTCGTTGGTCCAAATGAGAAAGCATCTAGCTATTAACCAGTGAATCTTGAGATCTCTCGAATAATATCAAAATTGAGTCTAGTTGGCAAACAAACAATTGTCCCGTTTATTCACTTGTGGACCTAGTGGATTCTGGATGCTTTCATAAGAGTATATAGTTCTATTCAGATTTTGTAGATTTATTGTGATTAGTGAAACCTAGAATGATTTCAAAGAAAAAAATGCCAGTAACGTGGATTATGGCTGATGCGTAGATCGGAGCCATTTTTCTATTTTCATACATTCCGACTGTGGAGAAGCACTTGCAATGTAACATGGATTGTTATATCATCATTTAAATGGTTAATAAATTGATGAAGTCTTTGGTTTCTAGGATTATCTATAATTGGTAATCCATACATATCATCAGAAATGTTGTTATAATTATTAATTCCGAAAACTTCCATTAAAAACTCTTGGCTCACATTTGGACACACTAAAAGTATCATGTGTTCACCCATGTCCATCAAAAACGCTCCTTTACTCTCGAGACACCTTGCTGTTAATTGTAATCGAGGTGGAATATGTACGGATTCTTCCTCAGAATTCAAGATGACCTCATTATCTTCCAAATTATGTATAAGGCTTGGTCATCTAACCTTATAGAACTTCCAGTCCTAAATGCAGTCGTCGGGTTTCAAAGATTCACTGGTGTAGCTAGATGCTTATGACCAATTCTGGTATACCTACGATAATATAACCCGTGATCCCCTTTCTTGTTCCATCTATGTCAGAGTCCGACAGAGATGCCAGCGCGTTCTCAGAGAATCTAAGAAGAAGAAGAAGAAGCATAGGAGAAGTTGAAGCAGAAGAAGAAGAAAACCGACATCGAGTACCTGTGTGTGTGAGACTGTGTGCATCCTGCACGCCCACCTCAATAAAATAAATTGTCAACCGGGCTGCAGTTCTAGGAAGCAGGCCGTGTGTCTGTGGCGCGATCCTCAGATAAGGTCCATTAACTATGGCTAGAGACAATACTATTTCAATGTGTCACTGGACTCTCGGTATTCACGTCCACTCACTCCAAGGAGGATGCTCTTCACCACAGAGTGTACACACAAGTAGGTATTTTTTCTTTCGTCTGTTGAAACGTTCGAAAAAAAAACCCTATTTTTCCGAGGAACATCGTGCGTACCCTGATGAATATTAGAGAAGGCAGGTATTGCTGTTCTTGAGAATACTTTCTCTGCATGACAAAGAGTTTCGAAGCTTCGCTATTCCATAGAAGTTCTGGTAGAAAGTTGTTCGACATATATGGAGTTGACGACGAAAGGATGTGCTGCCTGGGCTCAGTTTCTATATGCCCGAAACCCAGAACTCATAGGCACTTGATATTCGAGGCCCCAATGCAAGAGCCATTTTGGAAATTTATCAAATGACATGCACTAGTACAACATATATTTTCAATCGACTTCAATTAGTGTGAATCAACAACAAGTATATTGCAGTCTGCTATGTTTGTCTGCTGTATTTATGTCAACGGTCATTATACGCGGCCTATCCTACGCTCACAGCCTTCTTAGACTCACAAGCAGTGATTAGGAAAGTTGGCAACATGTTATAAGACCGATTCATCGTACGTTTCATGATTCTATAATCTTCATAAAATCATACGGCATAGTAGCTTCTGTGAAACTTTTGAGGTCAATCACTACAAAACGAAGTACGATTGACATTTTTTTTATGTAAATTACCAACATTATTATGGCTCACTCTATCAGCCCTGCAACTACCATGATGTTATTGAATGAATAGAGTTCCATTACCTCTGAAATAGTTGGGATTTATATTTTCAAAATGCGATTTCCTCAAGAACGGTACACGATATCGAATAAAATAAATTCCGCCATTTTTGTATGGAAAAGATTAAAGAATCGAACGCTGAAAGCGCAAAATGTTAAATTTTTTTCCTCTGTCAAAAATGCCTCCATCTAAGGAAAAAAATCGTTCCATCCTGTATAAAACATGATCACTGAACAGCCGTTTACATGGAATATATATTATTTATTCAAACTTTCAAGGACAATTAATCCGTAACGGAGTGCGTTTTATATAAAGAACTAGCGTTTTTTTGGATATCTCTATCAGTCCTATCATTTACGACATGATCTTTCCGGACAACTTCGTGAGGATCATTCTTCAAACTTATTTTCATCATAATCAAGATGATGGAAAGCCCGGCAGGAAGGTCGAGTTCTCATCACACACCAGGCAGCAGAGTCCTTCCAATTCCAGAAATCACTCGAAATCATGCACTATATGAAGTATTGCTGGCAGGATGGTACTATACAGTCTCCATTTTTCCTCGTTCGTCTACTGGCATTGTCTTTCCTTGTATACGGAAATGTCCACAAGCAAACTATACATAGGAGCGTGATGATTATTGTCGGTAACTCGACCCAAAACATACATAAATAGTGAAGATGATGAAAAGCCCTTATTCTGAGTGACAACAGAAAATGAAAAAACTCCACTGCCCCGCTTGACCACAACCTTTGGGTTACATGTCCAACGCTCCGCCAATTGAGCGAACGGAATATCCATCGATCAATCGGCAGGAAGGTCATCAGACGACGAATGAGCTCAGGTGCAGACACTCATTTTCCAAAGCCCCATCCAAATCCCCCAGATAGAAAGCTGAGAGATTCCTGAATCATTCACTGGTGATGTCTTCAGGTTCCATATACGATGAAGCACCTAGTCAACTGCTCATTCGAAGTCAAAAGATTCGCTACTTCGTAGTTCTGCAATCAGCCTGTTTATGATGATGTTAGAATTGGTGACTTTGTCCTTGCCAGAGAGTTCGGTCTCAATTTCTTCGATCTCGTCGAAGTGGACTCCACGCTTACGTTTCCTCCGCATGTCCCATACAAAGCTACTTCCACTGAATATTCAAATAGTCTCTATGGAGTCTGATGGATTGAAAATACCTGCAACCTCAGAGCGTGTACATGATTTTTCACTGGCGTTATTGGCAATTATATAAAGAGCTATCTAGATCTCATTTTGAGTTGATATTCTATTTTTTTATGGGACCCCTAGGCTGGCTAGGCCCCTAGGCCAGGGTCTTGTAAGCCTAGGCGGAAATACAGGCCTGCCTGATGAGCATGGCTCTGTAAACCAGATCGCCCATCTACTCGTTGTAGGTTTTGAATTGTAAATGTCATCAGGTGTATGTGAGCCAGGTTTGGTTCTTTGATCGATATTGGTCAATGGGAATTCAATCATGTTATTACTATATATTTGTCGATTTTGATATTATTTTATCTTTCAAGATATGCCTCACTGATGAAGTAACGAAACGTTGAACAATTTACCAGAATGATTATCGTATAGGCTTTCGCATATCAAAATAGGGGTTTTTCGAAGCAGATCATATAAATATATTATCTATGAGTTCATTAATTATTTCCAGGAATAAATGGGTTCAGAAACATTGAATTTCAGGTGATGATCATTTCAAACTGAATTATCATGGATCAAGTACAGTTCAACGAATGAAAAAGTGATAGTTTAAAAAAATATATTACGATCATCATCTCAATATTGCTATTCCCAGTATTACATTTGATAATTAACGTCTCAGATGATGATGCCATGAACAATAATATTCAGTTGGTAGGTACGGTTTTCAGTTAGTCAAACATAATATCAGAGGTATGAATTAATATTTTCCTTCAGTTGCCTGCTCTAATTTTGCATCCATCAGTGCATTTATATATTCATAGAGCTAGCTTTCTATGCTTGTGATAAAGATCATAATTCCGGAACAATATTTCCGTCAGTATGTATTCTCCCAAGTAAATGCCGTTCAATTGAAAACTGGACATGAAACACTGACGTTCCAAGATTAGAGTATGATTATATGGTTATCTTCCTCCATTCTACCATCCCTTTCTGGAGCTCCCGTTTCCTTCGCATCTAAACATTTTCGGGTATCTCAGGATTTACATCAAATTTTGAAATCTAGAATATTAATTTCACATGCACGAAATATAAAGTTTAATTCCAATGTTCCATAGTGAGTAATTTTTTCACAATATAATTAAATCACGAGAAGAGAAAGATTCATTTGAAAAAAAAAACAGGATGCATTTATGGATTTGCAGTGCAAATTGCAGTGAGATACAAGGCGTTCCTTCCATAGTGATGATCGAAGAATCGTCTCGACGAATTTACAGAATTGCTGTTAGATTGTCTAAATGTTCCACTATTTTCCCTTTCAACCAAATTGGTGTCTCCTATAGTTTCCGAGATCCCCATACGCTGTACAATCTTATATTTTGGTGACACTGCGTGTGTATTTATATATTTATGGACCTCGTAACGCATGCAGAGCCTGTCAAATATCAACAAAATTTCTTAAATGCCATAAAATCCTATTTCATCGAACATGAATATATTTTTTTTTTCCACAAACGTCAAAAAAGTTCCGCGCATTGACAACAAATTGCAAAGTGACACTTTTTTTAAGTTTCCTACGTTACCATGATACTTTGCACAATACAATCATAAGTAAAACACTGTTGTGTAATTTTTGTTGTAATTTTTGACGTTTGTAGAAAACATAATGTTTTCTTATATTTCATAACGGCTGAAATTTTCAACGAGTGAAATAATGGCATCGCATGTTGTAGTACTATCAAAGTCATTAAATACATTTCCATGATCATCAAGAACTCAACTGAATGAGCAATATGTATAACAATAATTGTAATTTTTTTCATTTCTCCACTTCAGAAGGAGCTGTAAATCATGAAAACCACATGAAAAATTTGACAACAAACAAAACTATCACGACTGAGTTATACCTATATATCAATCAAAAACCAAACTCAGATCCTTTCCCTAAAGTAGAGGTGTGAACTGCAGAGCTGTGAACAGTATACATCTCCTCAAATTGGTCCAATGATATTTGGAATTGATATTTGCACTCATTACATAATTTAAGTTTCACTTTGGGTTTCAAGTTTATCCACATAATGTCTTTGTATAGAATTGCATTATCATTAGCAAAGCCAAAGCAATATGATGTTCTTGGTGTATCAACAGAATTCTTGCGAATGCTTTGTAATCCAACAATGAGATATTATGTACATATCTAGTGGTGATTTGAGTAATTCCTGATTTGTAGAAACAATGTTGCATGATATCATAATTCCTTCTTCCTTGCATTTTTATATGGTATCAAAATTTCGCTTTTTGATTGTCAAGTAGTTCAACTTCATTCATGACATGTTTACACTGGCATCTCATCATTATTAACATAAATTGCCGACCCATTATGTAAATGAGGAATCTCCAAACACAACACGCTAAATTACCTGAAAATATTTGAGAAACCAGCAGAAAAATTCATCGGACATAATGTTCCCGTTTGGGATTTCAGAAAAACAATAAAAATTTACAAGGCAATTGTCGCAGTCGTTACCGAACATATATAACATTTTAAGGACAATAATTTTGCCGTGCCAGACGTTTTACGGAGAAGGACAGTCTTTAAGGGCCCCAAAGGTCCTGTCAAACAAACCACAATAACTTAACGATTTAATGGCTCGGCTAGACAGCTTCATAAAGATTAACAAGCACTCCGTTGAATTCTTTGTTTTGGAACTTGTTTCATTGCTCCAAACAGTAATTCGTTGCATATTTGTTCTCAAAATTAGAAATTATTTTCACTGACTATCGAATGTAACTAAACTATGCAACACTGATTTCGTCGAACCCCAAAGTTTTCAATCAAGAGAGAGAGAGAAGTTCTCTGTTCTTCCATTTTCCTTTTCAATGCTACCAAAGTGGCCGCA